TTAACTTCACCTTTGTCACATTTAATATTTCTACCTGTGATAATTTGAGCTGGAAAGATTACTTTCAAATTTTTATCGTCAGCTTCGCAAAGATTAGACACAATCATTGGAAACGCACAAATATCAACATGTAAATCTTCAAGCTCAGTTATGTCCCAAGATCCTTCCATCATAGTGTTATCGATGCTTGTTTTATTCATAAAAAATTTCCAATGGGCAACAGATTCTTGTGCTTTCAATTGGAAAAAAAATATATTAACAATTTGTCTAACAATCTCATCATTCAAGCTTTCAATTTTTGACAATTTTTCTGGGTTTCTAATTGTACGATAACGATTCATTAAATCTAGAATATCTTTTTGTAATGTTGCAATCAATGGATGTTTTTTATTTTCTTTGCCAATAGCAATATCGGAAAATCCACGATTTCCAAGAACACTACCATAAATTTGTTGTCGTAATTTTGTTGAAGCAGCTTTGCTAACTTCATCAATTCCGGTACGATTTATTGAAATTGAATCTGTTAACTTCAACAGTTGTTCTGTTGTTTTAACTACTTTCATTTCTAAAGTCTGTAGTTGCTTTTCATCATCATGTTTATCATCATCTTGTTTGCCATATTTATCATTCTCTTCAAGTTCAAAGTAATCATTAGTTTTTTTGATAATGGTTTCAATCACAAGACGTTCTAATGCACCAGTAATCAGATGTTTAGCCATCTTTATATTACCAGTGATTGAGCAACCAAATTTTCTCAAGAGTTCTTTTACCTCCGATTCATTAATTTCAACTCTTCTCATTGAACAAAGTCTTTCTAAATTTATATGTAAGTTATACATGTCTTTTGATAATTGATCAGCATAATTGGGATCTTGAACTCCTAGTCGGAAATTCGTTGCATCATCTAAAGCTGATTGATATTTGATAGCTTCTTCCTTTAAGATAACATTAGATCTTATCAAATCATCAATGATTTTATTTTTTGAATTCAATTCTGTTTGAAGATTTTTACAGTCAATTTCAAGCATTTTATTTTGTGAATGAAGGTTTTGAAGCTTGTTATCATATAAAATATTTCTCAACTCCCCAAATCCAATATTATCCATTGAGCTTGACATAAATTTATTTTGGCTTGCTTCCAACTCTTTTTTTTCATTTTCCAACTCAATGTTTTTACTTTCCAACTCGATGATTTTACTTTCCAACTCACCATTCTTGAATTTGCCTTCCAATTCATTGTTTTTATGTTTCAATTCAATTTTTTTATTTTTCAATTCCTTGTTTTTATTTTCCAATTCTTTGATTTTACTTTTCAATTCTTTGATTTTACTTTTCAATTCATTGTTTTTATTTTCTGATTCATTGTTTTTACTTTCCAATTCTGTGATTTTGCTTTTCAATTCCTCCATGTTATTATTTGTGCCATGAGGATAATTGAGATCTTGATTTCTTAAAATATTATTATCATAAGTTTCTTTACTAATTATATAATGTTCTCCAATGTTAAGACAAATTATTGGTTCTTGCACTAATAGTTGTTGTTGCCGACTATATAGGAGTTGCCACTGTTGTTGAGTTAAATTTTGCTGCTGTTCTATGAGTTGTTGACGTTGTTCAAAGTGTTGTAAAAGCTCTTGCTGTTGTTGTGTAGATCCATGATGACAATTTAATTGATCTCGTTGATTTTGCGTTAAACGTTGCAGCATTTCCAAGAGTTCTTTCTGTCGTTTCAAGGGTTCTTTCTGTCGTTTCAAGAGTTCTTTCTGAGAATTCAAGATACCTTGAAGTTGTTGTTGTAAATTTTGTTCTTGTATAGGCTGTTGCAGTTGTTGTAAAGGTGATTGCAGTTGTTGCTCTAAAACTTGTTGCAGTTGTTGTTTTAAGAGTTGCCGCTGTTGTGAGGATTTTTGATGTTGACGTTGTAAAAGTTGTTGTTGTTGCTCAAAGAGTTGTTGCAATTTTTCTTTGCATTGGTCCGAGAATAAAATTAGTTGTTGTAGTTGTTGCTGGTACAGTGGTTCAAAAAATTGTTCTTGTTGTTGTTGTTGTTCTTTTAAAAGTTGTTGCTGTTGTTCTAAAAGCTGTTGCTGTTGCTGTGTGAATTCATCATCTACATTGATATTTATATTAATATGGTCTCTAGGGTTTTTTGGGTCAATTTGATCAGACATTGTCTTTTTAAATACAAATGAACTGGTTTCAAGAATACAAGAAAATAAATTGTTGAGATACATTAATTATTATATATATTAATATATATATATAATGCACGCATAAATTTGTGATCAAACAAATATTTCCACAAAATGTCTTTTTTTTAATTTTTTTAGTTTGAATATTTCGGGAAACTATTTTCAAAAATTTTATCATGAAAAATTTGCTTGTAAAAATGATATGAGTTTTGCGAATCGAAAGAAATCGAAACGTTTTGGTTATTGAACGGTGTGCACTATAGAATTTTAAAGCAAGATGCCTATAATAATTTTGATAACGCGGTTGTTTGTGTAGTCGTGTGATATCAATTGATGACTATTTATTTATAAACTGAATATAAAACAGATAAAAATAAAATGTAATATTTTGAAAAACTCCTTCCTACACAACATTAATAACATTTATAAAAAAGTATTTAGTATCTATCCTAATTAGATACAGGAGAATCTTAATTTACTGACTTTACCGACTTTACTAACGAACGAAACATTCAATAATGCACTTGATGAACGCATACTACCATTATCACTATCGCTATCACTACCATTATCACTATCATTATTATTTTTCTTTTCAATCTTTTTTATTTTAAGCGATTTAATTAGTTTTTTATTTTTCTCATATGAGCATAGTTTCTTTTCCAGTTGGTTTTTCTGTAAGATTAGAATCCGAACATTTTTGCATCAATTCAGCATAAAAAATTGGTGTATCTCTTCTATTTGATCTGTTGAAAGTAAAAATTCCATTATTATTTTATGGGTGGAATAAAATTTTTTACAATATTTTAAAATATTATAAACTTATTTTTCTTACCCGTCTGAAATATTTAAAACTGATTTTAATTTCTTTCTCCAAGAAAAATTCTTGAATTTATTTGTATTTGATAAGTAATTATGGAAATCTCCACCTTGTTCATGTTCAAGCACTATCGTATAATTTTTTTCATGATCCAATGTAATTCCGTAGCATTCATTAACATTCCCATCATAAATAGTTATATGTCCTTTTAACTAGTGATTTTTAATAATTTAATTAGTAAACTTTTTTTGCAAATTTTAAAATTCTTATTTCACAAATTTCTTTTCCTACCTCTTTTATTATCAATGAAATATCCTGTGATTTATCGATGCTTTTTAATACGACTGTTTTTTTATTACACGACCAATAAGCAGTGTATACTTCACTAAATCCTACTTTAATTAAATATTTGACATTAGAAAATTCATCATATGGAATCCATTTCATCTTGGCTCTATTCATTTTACATTCATAAAGAAATTTTGCTAATTTTTTATTTTTGTACTTTGATGCTAATTTTTCAATTTCATTAATGGTTATCATTTTATGTTAATAAATAAGTAAGTGCAAGCGATAAAAATTATTTGCTTCAAAAAAGCAAAAAAAATTTTAATATATAGCTAGCAAACATTTCTTTTTAAATTAAAATATTATATAAATTTGCAATTATTAAACCAAATTCCAAAAACCTTGGCTTCCAAAAATAGTAATTTCAATAATAAATCAACTACTCGTTTTGTTTATTATGATTATTCAAGTAGAATTTTTTGGCATATTTTCTGTAATTACTTGGTCATTAATGAATAAATGACGCAAATGATTTATATACAACAACTTTTAATATATTCAAGGCCTTTGATGATTATCCATATCATATGCAAGTTTTTAAAAATTTTATTTAAAAATTATAAATAATGTAATAATAAACATGAATAAATAAATAAATAAATAATCTAATTATTATTAAACATTGACTCGCTTCTCATTTGCCAACCCATTACAGATGTGTCATGACAATTCGATTCAGTTGAAGATGGATTGCTTAGTGAGTTAGCTTGTTTAATCAGTTTAGTTAGTGGTCGATTTGTATAAAAAGTTTCTGGATGATTTTTATAATTTTTTTCATCTGATAAATATTTTTCTGATTTAATGATCTCTTGTCGTTTAGCTTCTGCTGACTCAATAATTTCTTTTAGTTCTTCAGGAGGATTGAGATTATATTTTACAAACACCTTTTCAATTTCATTGGCATCAGGCCTATTTTCAGGGTTGGAATCCCAGCATCTCTTCATCAATTCAGCAAAAAATTTAGGTGTGTCCTCAGTAACTTCAGGCCTCTCTCCTTTTAAAATATCTAAAATAAGACGGCGATCATGTGATCTATTATGAAAAGGTTTTTTCCCTGTAGTATGTTCCCACATTATCATACCAAAACTATAAATGTCTGATTCTTTTGTGAATAACTTATTTGATAGCACTTCAGGTGCCATATAAGGAAGAACTCCAAATATCTCACTAGGATTATCACCTTCATTTAATTGTTGGCATAATCCTAAATCACCTATTATATTATAATTCCTTTTATAAGAAAAAATATTACCACTGTGTAAATCACGATGAATGTAATTGTTTTCATGAATTTGCCTTAATCTAGTTTGCGTTAATTATAAATAATGTAAGTTAGTTATTTATAAAAATTAATATTAATGAATGTAGTAACAAAGCTAAACTAACCCTTGTGTAATATAAAAAAGTGAACTCATTTTGTCTTTCCAAGTAATTCCTTTAAAATTTTTAGATAGATAATCATGTAGATCTCCATTCTCAGCATATTGAAATACCAACAAATAATCATTTTCATCTAAACCTTTTGTAACTCCATAACATTTGTTAACAGAGTACCCAAATTCATTATTTACTTTTAACTAAAAATCATTTTCAATTTTCAATTTATTAATTTTAGTATTTAATTAATTAATAAGAACAATATCTAATAATGGTGAATTAATATTTTACCTCTTTTAAGATATCTGAAATATTATTTCCAAAATTGTACAATCTTTTTAATACAACGTCCTCATGAACATATTTAAAAAAGGTTGCATCATAATATCCAATCCAATCTGCTTTGTGAACTTCTCCAAATCCACCTCTGGCTAAAAATTTAATGTTTTTGAATTCATTGAATGGAAACCATTTGATATAATGTATACTGGATGCATTTTTTTTGCAATCATAAAGAAATCTAGCAATTTCTTCGTTTTCACATTTGTCATTTAACTCTGTGATGTTTTTTTCTTTGCAGTCATCGCATAATCCCATTGAAATCATTTTATAGTCTAATTTATGTAATGTTGCGCCTAATACATCAACGATTCCTTCTTTTTCTTCTAATTCATTTAGAGGACTTTTAAATAAAACGATTGACCTACTAATTAAACCATAAATGCTATCATCCCCAATCAATTTTCCTTTACAATTGGTGCATTGTTCGATTATTTTTAACGTTTTGATAATTCTATTTGATAAATTAATAAACATAACAAGTTTTTTATTATTATCATTTCCGTTAATTGATTCATTTAATTTCTCTAATTCGTTGATTAATTCGTTCAATTCATTTGAATTTTTGGTAGATATGCTTAAAAAAAATTTTTGTATATTAATATTCATTTTGATATTTCTTTTTTAAAAATAAATATGTTTGTGTAATAGTAATAATAATAACACTTTCCTATAAATTCATTATTTGTATTTGTATAATAATACACAATGAATCTCGATTTAGCGGATAGTTTGAGCAATTATAAATTTTTCCAAAAATCCGTTAAACCGAGATATCCACTATGTCGAGAAGGTTTTTATTAACATTATCCGTAAAACCGGGATTTTTAATTAGTATCCGCTAAATCGAGATTCACTGTGTAATAAATAAATAATTTATAATAATAGTAATGGGGGGGGGGGGTTTAATACCCCCCAGAAATATTTACATTAAGAATAATTCCATCTCGCAGACATAAACATAGTAGTAGTAGAGAACATCAAGCTGTTATTGTATATTTAGATCAATTATTATTAATGTTGATGCCTTAATTCTTGGATTAGACAGGGCTAGAGATGTAGTAGTGTATGGTATGGGTAAAGTTAAACTTGTCTGAATAATTTTCTTGAGTTTTACCGCAATTGAAAACTGTACAAACAAACCCACTGTTATCACTATTTTAATTGTCACCCCATTATCATGATTTTTGTTGACGGTGATGAAATACAACTAAAAGAAAGTACAACGAAAAGATTAAACGAAAATGAGTTATCGAAAATATCAAAAATACAGTTGATGATGATCTGGGTAACGTTGAATCAGCAATAAATGGGGCATGCTGCAACAAAATCAGACAAAGTGAACATTTGGTATTAGTATTACCAAAAATTTCAGGGATCACTAAA